TACCCTGTCTCTGTTGAACAATGCAGGCCTAATGTTTTGTCCACCAATTATTCACTCCTGTTTCTGTAGTTGAGAAAAAAATCTTAATGTTCTTGAACAGTAGAATTTATAAATAGTAGGGGGTTCTTGAGCTCTGGTCTGCCTGTGTTTTCCATGTTCATTTGCTGTGTTGCTTCATGTACTGTCTTTTAAAAAATTGCATAGTGAAATMTAGAGTTCCTTACATAAACAAGATTAAAACAATTTTATGTTTCGTACACGACATATGGATGCCTAACCAAAAAGCCTGTGCTGAAAATGTTTGGTACAAAAACGCGTACCGTTACATCTCCATTTCTTTAGGGGTGTAACAAAACATCGATCCACATTGGTCTATTGATTAAATGATTGATTCAGTTACATCAATGCAAAACAAAAACATTGATCCATGTCGTCGTCATATGCCTGATTTGGATTGATTTCTGTGGATTGATATCGCTTCATATTGATTGTAGACTTGGGAACCGAATTGAATCAACATCATATTATGACAGACTTTGTGATATCAAGAAACATCACATCATCAAACAAATCGATAAAATGTTGTATTGATAATACACATTGCTTTAAAAAAAGGGCATACATTTAAAAAAACAAATAATTATAACTCCTGATGAAACTGTCCATCAAAACAAATGTGCCAAAGGTGTGCCTATTTTTGACCAACATATTACTTAAATTGCTTAAATGGCAAAAAAAAATTGTCAATCCAGTGGCTAGATCTAGTTTAGCATAACTTGTTTTTTTGTACATTTATTACAAACAAAACAAAAACTGGTTTACACTTTAGCTTTAGGCTTTAAAAATGTCACACTGGCCATCTTGAAGTCAACTAGGAAGGCAGAAAAAGTAAGCTTGTGGTGTGTGCCAGTGCATCTGTGAGAGTACACACAGTATGCTGCAATATGCTGAAATGTTGGCCTCTATCTGACCGCAGAGGGAGTGGCTCTGAGGATAGAGTGGATGTAGATAGAAAGGAACAGGAGACATAAAAAGAAAGTGTTTATTCAAGATAGAGTAATGAGAAATAAAGTAGTCCTGGCTGGCTCAGCCCTTCTTTGGAAGAGATTGCTTTTCTAGCTCACCTTGCTGAACTTCTTTTTGCTTATCCTTTTTGTGTCATGTCTAACATGGCTGACATGCACCAAACTTAAAAACTCAAAAGTCTTGTTTCGGTGTCAGAGAGTGAGTTTTAAATGTTTCAGTGATCAGCAAACAGTTATCAGGTTTCTCATGTTTTTCCTTGTTATTGCCTAGGCCTGTCACGATAGGCAAGAAAACAGGTAATCGCATGACAAATTAAAATGTGGTCAGTTTTAAAAAAGGAGATTGATATTTTTCATTTACCTGCTTTTTTGTCTTCTTCGGTTCTCCTCCTTACTCCTTAGCTTTGGGAGGAGTGACCTTTTATGTCAGGTAGTATGTAGCATGAGAGCTCCATGAACAGGCATTTAGCTAGAAGAGCATCTTCGATTTTCCAATGCCTTCTTTCAGCTTTCGACTCCTAAGGACACCATGCCGAGCCTTGGGTTTACAGAGTTTTATTTTTTTATTTATTTATTTTAACTACATTAATTTAGTTATATGAACTTTGTAAGCAGTGTGCAGATGACTACAATCGTTTTCTTGGGTAGAGGTTTTTACAGCTTCAGCAGATGTGTGTTGTTTTCCCAATCTCCAGTCTAGGATAGTCCGCAATTTTTTTTACGGACATAAAATTCCATAAGCTTCATAAATGTGTGTGTGTGTGTGTGTGTGTGTGGGGGGGGGGGGGTCTGATTAGTTTAAAATAGTCTCCAAACGGTTGTATTCTTTATCGCAATGGTTTCTTAGACAGTTTATCCTCCAGCAAAGTTTGTTATCATGACAGGGCTATTATTGCCTCATATAGTTACGTAACAGAATTTTGTTTATTCCCATAGCTCATACAGTTAATTTTTCTTTTCTAAAATGTCAAAGTACATTCTGAAAAAGCCAAACTGTTTATCAAGCAGTTATTTTTCTTGCAGCAGTTTTTATTAATCTCCAAATCTGACTTTGTTAGAATGACTTTATTCAAACATTAATCTTTTTCTTTCTTAAAGGGTGTTTCTTTTGGTTCTTGATTAAAAAGGGAGTTAGTTCATGGCTAACCCCAACCGTTGTATGAATTACATTGTGTGTGTGTGTGTGTGTGTGTGTGTGTGTGTGTGTGTGTGTGTGTGTGTGTGTGTGTGTGNGTGTGTGTGTGTGTGTGTGTGTGTGTGTGTGTGTGTGTGTGTGTGTGTGTGTGTGTCATAGTCCCAATCTGTTTGTGCATGCCAATGTGGAAAAGCCTAATGCAAGAGAGGAAAATTTGACAAGCCTCTTACGATATCGTGCGTGCGTGTGTGTGTGTGTGTGTGGTATTTGTTGATCAACTAAACATTAAAATTTTCTTGACAAATCACAAATGAAGTCGAGCAGCAAATAAATATTGCCTCATTGTGGGTTTTTTAAAGAAACTTCTCAAACTCTGCCACATTTATGCAATAACAAATGCACATATGGAAAAAATCAGCTTCAGTACATTAAATGCACACAAAGACGCACAGCGTCAGCATATATTTTGTATATCTTGACTGGATTGGAATTACAAAGAAAACGATGCCTGTGGCTTGAAAAGGATTTTCTCACTGCGTTTCTTTGTGTGACTGCTTGCTTGCAAACATAATTTTCCTGTGTTTCGCATATCAGCAAAATGCTCTGTTGCTATAACTGTCCATCATAGTAGTCCCAAAATAGTGCAGAGATTATTGTTCTAGAAGCCCGGATGACCCAGTTTGAGGTGTCTGTCGTATTGCTGCAAGATTTGTTTATTTCTGTGAGCAGTCGCCCTTCCTGTCACTTTGTTTGGTGTGGTAGGAGGTGGGAGCGTAGAATAGGTAGTTTTCAGTGCCTACCATTAACAAAGTGGGGGCAACAATGGACCACATATAAGAGAAAGGGCCCAGTGGTTTTCTGTGACTACATTTCCTAAGTGGGGCGAATACACAGTTCATCGTAACTGCGTGCCGCACTGGTTTGGCTTGCTGACTCTCTCGAAGTGACTGACTTGACTGGAAGGTTATAAATAGAGTTCCTTCAACAGCATAACAGTGGAGTGGAGGGAATGAAGCTGGGGGAGGGGAGGGATATGGAAGTGGCGCCAGAGAATGAAGGAGTGCCAGTGTCTCAGAGTGGAGAGAAAAAAAATAATACAGCCGTGGTCTCATCTGTTCACTCAGTCAGTCAGTCACAGGGACGATTATGCTTTGACGCACTCGGGAGAAAATGCATTTTACGGGAGAAAAGAAATTAGGAAAGCAATGTATAAGAAATCTGTAGTAATGCGAAACAGTGAAGGAAGCCTGTGGATAGAAGTGCACAATTTCTTGTTGTGACACTAAAAGTACAATGATAACAGAACAACATTAATCTGCAAAGTACAATAACTTAAACTGTTACTAGAACCACATAGGATTGTTGGTGTTGGATACAAGTCTACCTTCTTTAATGAAAATAGCACATATGTGGTAAATAGATGGATGGAAAAGCCCACAATTACAAGGATTTGCTTGCTGTGGCTGTAAATGGCTGTTTGGGTTTTTGTTTAGACATGTCTGTCATGTTTCTAAAGACATTGCTCAGCTGTCTTGAGCTTGCTTAGTATCCCACAATGTAGGAGTCCACAGCATCTTCTTTAGTCTGCCCATTTGTCATAATATAATCCATCTTATTAACTGGGGCTGGGTGAGATGACCAAAAACTAATAATGGGAACTTTATTTCAACAGACAGTACTGTGTTTTTCACAGTATTTTTAAATCTGTTTTTAGTGTTAGTTCTTTATAACTAATATTAAACAAAGTAGTAGCTCAGTGGGTGGCAACTTCTGGAGACTAGGCAACTCAAAATATCCAGGAAATAGGCAAACTTTTTATTGTAGTCTCTGCCTACTGATGGTGGTCAGAGGGTCCGGTGGCTTCGGTGCATGGCAGCCTCACCTTTCTCAGTGTGCCCCAAGGCAGCTGTGGCTACAGTGTAGCTTACCATCATCAGTTTGTYAATGAGTGAATGCCTAAGTGTAAAGCTCTTAATATTAGTGGACATTTTTTCAAAATCACAGCAGATTTTTATGTGCAGGGCTTGCAAAACTGTGTTTTAGGCCCTGCACATTATCTTCTTGCCCACCTCGACTCACATTTTCACCGGCCTCTGCTCACAGTTTACCTACCTGCCCACACGTAATGACTTATTGTACTGGATTATCTGTTCTAAATAAAAATTCTTTGATTAGGAACAGTTTTTTCTAACAATTGTTTATCATTAGTACAGTTTTTTTTTTTTTTGACGTGGACATTTGGATCTACACCCTTGAATGTTTTCAGTAATGGGAAATCTCCCATGCAGGTGTCAAAATACAGCAAAATCCAAAATAAAGCTGGAAGCCCAACTCATTTGTTATGTCAGTTACATGTGAGCATGTTTAAGTGTCTGAGAGTCTCAACCACGTGCCACCTCTTCTAACATTTTCAGGCAAATGACAGCTTTTAGAGTAATTTTGATAGGATTGGGTGAATTAGGGAATTATATGCAGATGGCTGAAAAAATTATCATTAAAATCTATGTTCTGTAGTCACACTGTAGTCATTTAAAATATTACTTGATGAGTAATGCACAGTATTTCGACAATACTGGATCCGTTGCTCTCTCCTATTCTTGTGATGTTTTTTTTCCCCAGACTTGTTTGAGAACAGAATGACRAATCTTGCTCACTGTGTGAGTTATATCTGAACAACTTTGTAACCTTTTGGCTACTAGAGCAAAAGTATTATTGTTTAAAATTGAGTTCTTGATGTTCTGGTGATAGCTACATAATGTGACAGTGTATAAACAAGGTTTCAGGAAACGACGTGTACAACAAGCTAATTTTGCTCTCTCGTTTGTTTTTCTTCATTGCAGACGGTTGATGACGATGCAATGGCAGCGTGAATGAAGCTTGGCGTGGGGAGAGCTGAACGATGCCCAAAGGTGGGGGTTCTAAAACCCCCCAGCTGGACCACTTCCCACTCAACACCGACATGGTGGAAAAGCAGGGTGGGAAAAAGGTATGTTTTACTTTGAGATTGAGTATCAGCAGTGTTTTTAACAACTTTAAACTTGCATGTTTTGGATTAGTCAGCAGCACTTTCTGTAACAGAAAGGCTTTATCATTTTTATATTTCTTTATTATCACCTTTAAACTGCAGAGCCTTTGGGGCATGTCACAGATTAATGTGAAATTACTCTAAATTACATTCTGTAATTACCAGATTGAGTTTGCCTTTTAATTTCATCATGATATCTGTACACGGTTCCTTTCTTTTGCTTACTCCGTCATTTTTTTTAGTCTATTAAATGTTGTACAAATGACCATATCACTTCATTTTTTCCGGTTACTTACAACAATGTCTGGTCTCTAATGTCAGGCAGCATGCATCTAATGTCCAACCAGGTAAAAAGAGCTGTGACAAATGGTTTAGACTCTGGTTGGCTGAATTTGATTGAAGCAGGGGGTTAGCTTAACCCTGTGTAAATCTGAATAAGAAATTAATGCTCCATCTTATTATGAGTCTGGAAAGTCCACTGCTGTAGTGATTATGTTACGCAATAAATAATAGTCTAAGTTTCCCAATGCTGAGTTACACACTTCACTATGCAGTCCAGCAAAATGTAAAAGAAATTTCTACTAAAATATTGTCTTCGTTACAAAAGGTTGTTATTGTAATGCTTGGAAGCTAAAATGTCTGGGATTCGCTGCTCTAATCTCACTGCACAAKATGTGTTCATCAGTTTAAAATTTTTTTAAAGTATTTTATATAAGTATAATGGCAATTTGAGATTAAAGAAGATAAATTACTAAAGTAGCTTAAAAATAGATTTCTTCTTGTCCAGTAAATTAAAAAATGTTCATAATTCAATCTGGTTTAAATAAATTTGTTCGTGTAAACAAGATCTCTAACTCTTCACAGTGGGTTTGGACACATTTTTAAAATGAAAAGCTCATAAAAGATGTTAAGTTCTATTTTATATTTGTACTTGACATTTTTAATTTCCTAATTTGCTCCCGAATTGGAGCTATAGAGGCACTATCCTTTCTTCTGGAAAAGGTTGCAACTGTAC